ATATATATATATATATATATATATATATATATATATATATATTATATATATATAATATATTATATATATATATATATATATATATATATATATGATCACATGTGACTAAATACACGAGAATAAGTATTGAATAGAGAACACAAAAACAAATTTTGTTTATATAAATTACATATTATTAAATACATATAGTCACATGTGATTAAATAGATGAGAACAACTATTAAATCGATAACTAGAAAACAAATCTTGCCCACATTAATCATACATGATAAAATATTTATAATCAAATTTGATTAAATACATATAACCACATGTGATTAAATGTATAAGAACAACTATTGAATCAAAATCTTATAAACCTAATCCAACAGGTTAAATTGTATTATAGAGAATGTCTATAAGGCTAATTAGCTAATATGAAAAGTATTGAGTGTTATTATAGCCAAAATATAAATAGAAAAGGGCAAGTGATTCAACTCGGAGATAAGTAGAAAAACAAATTTTGTCCATTTTAATCATATGTGATTAGATACATTTAATCCCATGTGATTACTTGTATCTAATCACATGATTTATATGGACAAAATGAATCTTTTCCGTATAAATTATATGTGCTTAAATACGTGTAATCACATTTGATTAAATAAAAGTATATACATGAGAACATTCAATCAAGGATGCGAAAACAAATCATGACCATATAAATCATATGTGATTAAATACATATAATCATATGTGATTATATGTATACAATCACATATGATTTATACGGATAAGATTCATTATCGCATTTTGATTCAATAATTATTGTTTGTCAACTTTAACCATATGTGATTATATGTATCTAATCACATATGATTTATATGGTCAATAAAGAATGATGTCTATATAAATCATATGTGATTAGATACATATAATCACATATGATTATATACACGAGAACAGCTATTGAAATCGAGAACACAAAGATAAATATTGTCCACATATATCACATGTGATTAAATGCATATAATGACATGTGATTATATGTATCTAACACATATAATTTAAATATTTAACCACATGTGATTATATGTATTTAATTACATATGAGTATATGTATTAAATACATATAATAACATGTAATTAAATACACGAGACCAATATTGAATCAAAAATGTGAAAATAAATATTTTCCATATAAATCATATGTGATTAAATACATATAATTACATGTGATTATATGAATCCAATCACATGTGATTTATGTGGACAATATTCATTTACGTGTTCTCGATTCAATAATTGTTCTTTATCCACTTTAATCATATGTGATTAAATATATTAATCACATGTGATTATATGTATCTAATCACATATGATTTTATTTGGAAAAATGAATATTGTCAATATAAATCATACGTGATTAGATACATATAATCACATGTGATTATATACACGATAACAACTATTATACACAAGATTTGTTTTTGAATTTTAGATTCAAAAGTTGTTCTTTGTCCATATTAATCATATGTGAATCACATATGATTTATGTGGACAAGATTCATGAGAGAAACTATTGAATCACATATGATTTATGTGGACAAGATTTAATAATTTTTCTTTTTAAACTTTAATCATATGTGATTAAATACATCTAATCATATATGTGATTAAATACATATAATCACATGTGATTTAATACATGATGCCAATTATCAAATCGAAAACACGAAGACGTAAATAATATTTTATTAAATACATATAATCACGTGTAGTTATATGTATCTAATTACATATGATTTACGTGGATAATATTCATTTTTGCATTCTCGATTCACTAGTTTTTCACGTATATTTAATCACATGTGATTATATGTATTTAATAACATGTAAATCATATATGATTCGATACATATAATCACATGTGACTCGATATATATAATCACATGTGATTATATACAAGAGAAAACCTAATGAATCAAAAACACAATAACAAATCTTTGTAGGTTGGGGTGGGGATGGTGGTGACGGGTGGTGGAGGCGGGGTGGTGGTGATTGGTGGTGGTGATGGTGTGTGGTGATGGGTGGTGGTTGGTGGGTGGGTGGTTTCAAGTGGTGGTGATAGTGAGGGGTGATGAGTAGGTGTGGGTGGTGAAGGTAATTCATTTTTTCTTTGTGATTATATGAATCTAATCACATATGATTTATGTGGACATAATTCATTTTTGATTTGTCGATTCAATAGTTGTTCTCATGTATTTTATCACATGTGATTATATGTATAATCGTATGTGATTAAGTACATGAGCACTATTGAATCGAGAAGGAAAAAATGAATCTTGTCCATCTCAAATCATATATGATTATATATATATAATCACATGTGATTAATTACACAAAAGCAATTATTCAGTCGAAACCGCAAAAAATAAATATTGTATACATAAATCATATCTGATTAAATACATATAATCACATGTGATTATATGTATCCAATCATATATGATTTATGTGGATGAGATTCATTGTCACATTCTCGATTCAATAATTGTTTTTTATCCACTGTAATCATATGTGATTAAATACATATAATCATATGTGATTATATTTATATAATCACATATGATTTATACGGACAAAAAATTATGATGTCTATATAAATCATATGTGATTAGATACATATAATCACATATGATTATATACATAAGAACAACTATTGAATCGAGAACACAAAGATAAATATTGTCCACATATATCATATGTGATTAAATGCATATAATCACATGTGATTATATGTATCTAATCATATAGAATTTATGTGGAAAATATTTATTTTCGCGTTCTCGATTCAATTGTTGTTCTTGTGTGCTTAATTACATGAGATTATATGTATCTAATTAAATATGATTTATATGGACAATATTCATTTTAACATTCTTGTTTAATAGTTGTTCTTGTACATTTAGTCACATATGATTTCTGTACACAAGATTCATTTTTGTGTTTTTGATTAAAATAGTTTTTCTTTTACCACATTAATCATATGTGATTAATCCATACAATCACATATGATTAAATACATAAGAAAAAAATTGACTCATGAATATTATCAATATAAATCATATGCGGTTTGATACATATAATCACATGTGATTAAGTACATGAGTACAACTATTGAATTGAGAAAGAAATAATGAATCTTGTCCACATAAATCATATGTGATTAAATACATATAATCATATGTGATTAAATATATTAGAACAATTATTGAATCGACGCAAGAATAAATATTTTCCATATGAATCATATGTGATTAAATATATATAATCACATGTGATTAAATACACAAGAACAACTATTGAATCAACACGTAAAACAAATATGTGGTAGATAGTGATGGGTGGTGGGTGGTGGTTGGTGGTTGGTGGTGGTGGGTAGCGATGGGTGGTGGTGGCGGGTGATGGGTGGTAGGTAGTGGTTGTGGGTGGTGGTGGCAGGCGGTGGTAATAAGCGGTGGTGGTGGGTGGGTTGTGATGGTGGTGGCGGGTGGTGATGGTTAGTGGTGGTGGTGGTTGGTGGTAGTGGGTGGTGGGTGGTAATGGTAGTGGCGGGTGGTGGTTGGTGGTGGTAGTTGTGGATAGTGATGGGTGGTGGGTGGTGGTTGGGTAGTGATGGGTGGTGGGTGGTGGTTGGTGGTTGGTGGTGGTGGTTAGTGATGGGTGGTGGTGGCGGGTGGTGGTAGTAGGTGGTGGTTGGTGAAGGTGGGTAGTGATGGGTGGTGGTAGCGAGTGGTAGTGATGGGTGGTAGGTAGGGGTTGCGGGTGGTGGTGGCAGGTGGTGGAGGTGGGTGGTGGTGGCAGGTGGTGGTGGTTAAGTGGTACTAGTGGTGTGCGGTGATGATGGTGGCAGATGGTGGTTGGTGGTGGTGTTGGTGATGGGTGATGGTTGGTAGTGGTGGTTAGTGATGGGGGGTAGTGGCGGGTGGTGGTTGGAGTATTGGATGTATTCTGAATGAATTCTTACCCGGAATTATATCACTTTTGTTGTGAAATAACACACTTTGATAGCGAATTATGACAATAAATAGATGTAAAATATTTGTGTATATTGTTCGGTCAGCAGAAGATGCTATATACAATGAGAAGATGCTATATACAATGAGAAGATCATACATCTTTTACGGCCGGTTATATATATATATATATATATATATATATATATATATATATATATATATATATATATATATATATATATATATATATATATATATATATTATTTACCCGATTCATCAAATCCCTTAAAGCCCTTATATGTTTATTTTTTTAAACTTGTTTGTTTTTTTTTCTTTTGTTTTTTTTTTATAACTTAGTTTTGTGTTTTTTTTTTATAATTTTTAGAAATTTCTCTGATTGTGACATTAGCATCCAAGAAAAGTAACAAATATGTTATCTCTAAGACATGGTAAATATACAAATAGATAAGTAAACAAATCGTTGCATGTTTTTGGAAACAATAGATTTGATCATGATTTGTTATAAAAACCGACTGGTTTGTAATAAGGTGACGTTTATCGGTTGATAATCTTTCCTTGAAGAAACTATTAAAAGATAAAGAATCTTTTTCAGGTATAAAATATTACTTTTCGGAACATTAAGTTATTTTTCTAACCTTTTACAAGGGATCACTTACATTCTTTTTTTATTAAAAATATTTTTTTAGATGACATAAAGTGCACATATAATCTTTTGTATGCTGGACTCGATAAGTTTAGTCGAGCTTAATAGTTAATAGGCTCGTTTTATAAATTGAAAAAAAAAAATTTTAAAAAAAAAAAAAAAAAAAAGGAGTCCAGAGGCTTGTTTAGGCTTCCTTAATAGCTCAAACTCAAGCTTATTAAGGCTTGGGCTCAACTCGAATCATATTTATAAAACATGTGACTTGCTTTAGATTCCATTATAATCAAAAAGCCTAACCCATTGTAAAATAAAAATGGACAATACTCATAATTATACACTCACAATATGATTCAAAACAAAATACAAAATGAGCTACAACACCATACATGATATGCAAGATCTCTTGTAACAAAAACCGAAACAAGTTGAAATCAAATGGGTTAGTTTAGTTTACTGCCCAATCACCCGCTTAGCACCATCCAAAGTGTTTTTAAGCAGCATGGCCACAGTCATGGGCCCCACACCCCCTGGAACAGGCGTAACCCATCCCGCAACTTTACATGCTTGGTCAAAGTCAACATCACCCACAAGCCTATATCCTGATTTTCTGCTAGCATCATCCACCGCATTCGTCCCCACATCAATAACCGCAGCACCACTTTTTATCCAGCTACCCTTTATCTAATAATAAGAAACAATTCCACAAACCAAAGTGTAAACTAACTAACTAACCTATAACCCAAATAAATAAACAATTCAACAAACTTTACCATCATGGGTTGTCCAGCTGCAGCAATAACAATATCCGCCTCACGGATCATACTTTCTGGATCCTCTGTACGCGAATGAACAACAGTAACTGTTGCATCTTCCTTCAATAGAAGTAGTGAAACTGGTAACCCAACAATGTTGCTTCTACCAACAACAACTGCACGTTTTCCCTTTATGCTAATTCCACTGCGTTTCAGAAGCTCTATACATCCCTGTTTCAGAAACAAATTTTCATTTGTTTGTTTTGTATATTATATTTATATGACATCCTAAATGGTAAAAAAAAAAAAAAAAAAAAATGTTATTGATTGGCTTGCCTTTGGGGTGCAAGGAAGAAAAAGGGGTTCTCTTCCTTTCATAGCAAGTTTCCCAATGTTGAGAGGGTGAAACCCATCCACATCCTTGTCAATGCTGATTTCTGTTAACACTTTTTCTTCATTTATGTGTTTTGGCAAAGGAAGCTGAACCAATATCCCTGGATGCATCATCATAAGACATAACAAACAATTTCTTTTCGTTTCATTTCAAGGTGCTTGCTTATAAGTTATAAGAGATACATGTAATTTGGTTTGCTGACCATGTACGTTTGGATCTGCATTTAACTCATGGACCTTTGCGATTAATTCAGCTTCAGGTACTTGTTCGGGAAGGTCTATGTCAATAGACTTGATTCCAACCTCACAACATGCTTTTCTTTTCATACTTACATAACTTTGAGAGTCTTTTCTATGCCCCACAATCACCACAGCAAGTCCTGGAGCCTGAAATAAATCATTCTTTTCTAACTTAATGTTGTATTGTCTATATGCAGTGAAAGGAAATGATGATTCTTTACCTTGCCATATTTCTCAATCAAGGTACTGACTTCAGAGGCGATTTCAGAACGAATTGTTTGTGCGATTGCTTTTCCATCAATGATGGTGGCCTTGTGATCTACGTGTAATGCCATAGCTACAACAACTGAGATATCAAGATTCCACCAATCCTGTTACATGTTCGATTTACTTTGAAAAATCACATCCGAACAAGCATTTAAAGCAAAATGTAGAAGCATCATGTGATGAATCGGGATAAGGTTTAACTCATTAGCAAACACATCCAATTAGATTAAGGTATAAGGCGCATAGGTTTTTCCACCAAGAGGGATATGGATATGTAAGAACAGAGTCTCATTGAGGGCCATAAAGCAGTAAATTTCAAATCGAAAAATAAGAGGATTGTGTGATGGAGGATGAATATAAGTTAGATCTATAGCAAACAGAAACACACGACCAAGTAAATGAACGAATCGCATGGGAGTAAAACAGAAAATCTTCAATCAATTCGTGAAATTCAAACTTAGATTTCTTGTAGACGGTATAATCAAGCAAACTTCATCTGAAGTATCATATAGTAATTATATAAACAGTAACAAAATTTTATCTTAAATTCGAAAAGAAAACAAACAGGAGTGAAAAAAGGATACCGGGTAAGCACTAAATAGAACAAATCCGGAGCTTTTGACTACCTGCTAGTATGAGATTTGATCGTAGAAGCTTTGAGGAGTTATTTTGATCCGATAATAGAGAGTGATTGTGGTTTACTGATGTACTGATATGGAATATGACACATAAATAAGCTCGCTCTTTTTGTCTCTTGGCGGCGGAATCCCGGCGGTGGAGGACTCGGCTCGGCGTTAGTAGAAAATATATAATTTTAATTCGGACTTGGCTAATAACATAAAAACTACTATTTTTTTTTTTAACCTCTCAAGTCTCAATTTTAATTTCTGCTAAAAAAATCATATATTTTTAGATAAAAGTTTAATAGTGATTATTATGACCTGTAAATACCGGTTAAATAGATATGCCTTATCTTTTGTTCTAAAAATTATTTACTTTTCGAAAATCAATATCGACCACAATTTTTTTTGTGTGGTTTTATCAAAGTTTATAGTCTTTCTTTATTTACAAACAGGCATCAATATAAATCGATGCAAACCCATAAGATTCCGGTGTTCGTTGACAACCATTAGTCTCAGTTTCTATGATTTAAGTTAAATTTTTTATCTAGAAAAATCATTTGAGTTTGGATTCTGTGATTTAGTTTTTTTTTTTTTTTTTTTGTTGAAAAACCATTTAATTTTAGTTTATGTATGTCGAAAAACTAAACCATAAAATTTGATTTTGATAATTTAGTTTGAAAATGGAATATTACTATAATATTGTTTAAATTAATTTTTGTCGAAACTTAAAGATGAAAACCAAAATCAATTGATTTTTCAACCCAAAAAAAAAAACTAAAACTAAATCATTAGAAAACGAAATTAAATGATTTTCAATAAAAAAAACTTAATTTTTCAAATTGACATTGTCATATACCGATATAGATAGTCTTTATAGATATCAAAAAATTATAAATAATGATGTATTAAAGTCTCGATTAAAGCTGCAAAATTTAATTTGTCATTTTGTTTTGGACAAGTGGATTTAAATTTTGTTTTATTATCTATTTTCAAAAATCAAGGATCAACTCTCATTTCATTAAAGGATAAAATAACTATCTTACCCTTTTCTTTTTCTTTTTCTTTTTCATTCCTTTTTCGGTTGTTCATAATTTATCAATTATTTTTTGTTAATTATTAATTTTTAGAAAATAAAATTTCCCCTTAAATTGGTTCCAACCATCCACCTCCGACCACCAGTCACTTTCGACACCACCACTTCCGTCCACTAGACACCTCCTACCAACACTACATCTGAAAGAGATCTACATATATGTGTTTATTTACCAAATCCATACCCTAGATCTACAAACGGATCAAACAAATAAAATAGATGAAAGGATTAGTGGAAGATTATGGTCAAACACAAACCCTTCCACCCATTGTCCTACCACTACCATGAAACCTACAACTCCGGTTATCTTCTCCCCAAACTTGTGTGAACAAATCCCTGAAATCGTTTGCAAAGCTAGATCACCCGACAAGTTTAGATAGTAAAAAAGGGAAACAGACGATGGTGGATCAAAGCGACGGTTTGGGAGGTGACGATGTTGTTTGGTATTTGCCGGAGTTGACAGTTGGGGTCGGTATCAGTGTTTCAGACGCCCCCTTCCCCATTCCTCTCCTTCTCTAACCAGACCTCCGTAGTCCCCTTCTCTTCTTCTCCGACCAAACTGTTGTCGTCCTCTTCTTCTCCGACCAATCTACTTCACGATTCCGACCAATCTCTTTTCCAGCAAAATCTACACCGCGATTTAGGGTTTTCTAGAATTAGATGGGAATTGGGTGGGGTTGGAATTTATTATATATTTTTTCCTTTTTTTAATAAATACAAAATAATTTATAAGTAATGAGAGGCGGTACAAGTTAATTTTTGAATACACGGACTACTTTTTGGCACTTTACAATTTAATTTATATTTTTAAATATTTATTATACATTTAGTAATTCTAAAATTCAAAATAAACCTACCCAGTGTGATCATCTTTTACATTCAAACTCACAACTATTCCTGCATTGAGACATCAAGGCTTCATCTCTTTCCTTCTCTCGCCCATCCATGTTGGAAAACTCCACGAGATCTCCCCCTTCCTCTCCACCACCAACACCACCATCAAATGTAGAAAGCAAACATTATGTGGCAGTATACTAAATGGCAGCTTGCAAGGAATCAAAACACGAAAGGGGAAAAAAGGAAAAAGAAATACAGAAAAAGAATGAAGTTTAAAAAATTCTTGCGTTCAAGTATCTCTATCATCTTTATAGTTTAATTGAAAATAAAATTACAGAACAAAACTGCAGCTGAAAGTTTCTATACTTTGATCGACAGTTAGCTTTACAGTTCCCTAAACTTGACGATATGAAACCTTTCAGTAAAAGATTCAACAGCATAATACTTTGCATTAGCATTTCAGAAGCTATAAAAGATTCAACACGTTTCGGAAACAACATAAGATTTCATATTCCCTAATAGCAAGATTTCCTAGCATAAAACATTTCAGATATATACAAGAGTTTTAATTTCGAATTTAGGGAAAATCGATGTTAATAGAGTCATAAGCAGAAAATTTAAGTTCATAACAAAGAAAATTGAAGCTAAAAGTGATAGGCATAAAATCGAAACAACACCTTGATGTTTCTCACTGTTCGGATGCAGAAATTGACAACACAACAAAATCGAAGTTCAAAGTGATCTTTCTTACCGTTCAGATGCGGAGGAGAGCCGCGGCGGTGCCAGACGAGATAGCTGCCGGCGTATGAGGGAGGTCGGAGATGGATGCTCGCAGAAGGAGTGTATGTGAGAAGTCGGACAGATTCAAGGCATCGATGAAGAAGAGTGAGGAGACTGTGGGAGCCGATGTATTAGGGCAATGGTGGCAAGGGAATAACAAAATGGGCATTTTTAGAATTTTATTTTATGATATTGATATCCGTAAAATCTACAACTGCAATAAACAATAGATATGATAATGTTACTTTAATATTAAAGTTTTAATATATTTAATTTACATTCATTTTTTAATATTATTTTATTATAGATTTTTTTAATATTACAACTAATTCAAGTTGTTTATTTTAAAATTTCTATCGTAACTTTTAATACGTAATACAAATAAATCATCGATACATTTCAACTTATAAAATAATATATATAAATTTGTACACTTGGCAACAACCTTTGCCATATACGACATAAACTTGGAACATCTTTCGGTAGTTTGATAATAACTTTTAAAATCACTTTGATTTTAATCAAAAAGATTTCAGAGTTATGTGGAAATATTGCTCCCGAAGTCCAAAACAAAGTCACATTGTTTAAAAAACGTAAGTTAACATCAATTTAATATCATCATATAGCTCAAGTCATTCAAAATGTCATCGTTGTTCTTTAATCTACTCCATGTAGCGCCCATTTTTTAAAAACACATTAAAGTTGTGGAATTATTGAACCTGGATTTATCTTTATAAATTAACTCTTTTACAAAAAGAAAAAAAAAATCAGCATTATTACATTTGTTGTCATTTTCAGTTTCATATATGAAAAAATATACTTTATAATTATTACTATCATTAAGTAATTATACCCAAAAATCGAAGTAAACACTCCAAGAACATCATTCAAAACACTAATGACTTATTATTTCGAAGATGGTTCCATGGTTATGACCATAATCATTTACAAGCACCATTAATATGATGATGTTTAAATAAAATAACTATAAACAATCGATCAACAAGTCATATAATACATTACATATACGACCAAAATCATATCTAAGTGTGGCTCAATGATCCCAAGAACATGATTGTTCTGAGCGGGTCCTCCGTTTTCACTCTTTGGTATGATCTTTTAACTTCTTTAGCATTCAAAACTCTTATTTTTGCATCTGAAATTCCGTTTTCGTTATCATCAACAACTATTGTGGCTTGAAAAGCTTGCCGAAGTCTTTCTCTAATCGTTCTTTTGCAATCATGGATCATAGAGGTTTCGCTCGAGAGATGTTTAGGCTTCATTGTTTAAAGAGAGTGGTGATTTTCGAATGATTGTGAGAGATGAAGAGAATGAATTAGTGAAGTAACATATAAGAATATTGATAGGTATTTATAGAAAATTACAAGTAGAGTAAGTGGCCTAGTGGGTCAACAAGGAACCCAAAGAGGGCCCACTAGATATATTAGGATGGTGGATGTTTTATGTTTAGATTTTTAGAGTATTTCACAAGTTTTTTATTGCTAAAGTCAAAAAATTTGTTCCATAAAAAAAATTCATAAATAGAATTATAAACTTAAGGCGAAAGCCGAAAGACTGTGATAAAAGCCTTTTATCATGGATAATTCGGATAGTTGGTTTGTTTTTGTAATATATCTCCTTATGATAAAGTTGATTTTGTAGTGTTGTGTGTTTGTGAAAGAGGGGATGGTGATGGGTTAGAGAGGAGTTGATACTTGATGAGTGTTCCTTTTTAACATTTGTGTTCATTTATTTTCGACAATAAGTTTTATAATATTATCTTTATCTTATCAAAGCACAATTAAATTATTATTTTCTTTGTATCTTCTTTAACAAAAGGTAGAGTTTTCTCCGCTAATGAATGGTTCGCTTATTTATATATTTTGTTAAAATATAAGTGACACAAACTTTATAAAAAGTAACACAAATTAAAAATAATATCCATGAATTACTAAACGAAAATTTAGCGAAAAAGCATATAGTTTACATATTCCTTTTTCTTCGACATTAGCTAATTATTTCAAAAATATTTTGCAAAATCAAACAACCACTTGCTTAACAAGCAATTTCGTATCTTTAAACATACACACTCTCACAAAACATGTCGAAATATATTTAGGTAAGAATATCTTGAATATCGGGCATATCAATTTGAGAGTATACAATTCAACTTTTTTATGTGTGTATTTGAGAGTTGAGACGTCGACATAACAATCGACTTACCTTCCATAATAAGAAAAACCATAAACGGTCAAAGACGTGTCGAAAAGAAACCAACTTTTATTCCCACAATGGATATCTACTCATGTACTCGCTTCTAAAATTAAAGTATAGAAAACGACAATAATTCAAATAACGAAAGGGATTTGCTGCATCAAAGGAGGATGTTGGAGGTTTTCAACAAAGTTATAACTTTTCTCTACATGTACAAAAAAAGGTAAATCAAAAATTAAAATAATTGTATTCTTGTATATTCGGATTTTGAAATTATAGGTGCTAAGCAAATCAAAATGTTACATTATACCAATGTTAAAATCGATTGTTAGATGATGATAATGTCGATATCTATTGCTATCTAACAAATTAAATCGAGAATATTAAACTCATGATCTTAATTGTTATACGATATGTCACACCCAATCATAACTACAAATAATTCCTAACCAAATCTCTACCCTACAATATCAATATTAGAGTACATATCGCTTGAGGTTACATGTTCAATTCAAAATAACCATACATCTCATCCAATCCAATTCATCACTTACATCCTAAGCACTTGTCTTATCAAAGATAACATTTTTTTATACTCTTACCATACACACAACCTCTCACAAAACATCAAACAAATTTATTTTAAACATCTGTATATAAGGTTTTTACAGATAGATAATAATCTTAATATATACAATCTAACTATCCATGTTTAATATTATTAGAAAAAATAAACATCCTTTTACATTTTATTCTTATAAATCCTTCTATTCAATTAAATAATGACATGTGTAACATTTAATGTCCAGTTAATGAAATTTATGATATTTTAGCATACTAATGTGATACATATCATCATTTGAATGTTTAGAAGGATTGACAGTAATAAAAAGTAATAGGATATTTAATTTCTCATATTATTATTTTGAATATCATTCATGGGCATATGAGAGTTAAGATGTTGATACCTTCAATAATAAGAAAAACTATAACCTTTTATTCTCACAATGGGAAATTAAAGCATAGAATATGACAAGTCTAATAAAAAAAAGGATGTGTTGCACAAAGGAGGATGTATAAGGTTTTTGTTGGAAATTAAATGGTATGCTTGCAAGTAGGCAATTTTCATTGGTGGAAGAAAATTTTGTGGTTTATAAGGTTTTATTTGCCTTAAGATTTCAAAGGCTTTATTGGAGGTTAGGGGATATTAGGTTACTTTGCATTTTTCTAATTTTAGGGTTTCTACAGCTCCTCTAGAGCCATATTGGGTTTCTACAACTATAAATAGGGTTGATCGTTGTCACAACTTGTTTTTTTGGCAATCTTTTGGGGTTTATACAACTACCCTAGAGTCGTAGTGGGTTTCTACAACTATAAATATTGTAACACGCCAAATCAGGTAAACCATTCTAACCCCTTGAAATGATCTTATTAGGCAAAAATGGTCCCTTTTTGTACGCTGGGCGTACCTAAGTGTACGCTTAGCGTACTATGGATGAAGGATCGCTAAGGAGTTTGGAGTACGCAAGGCGTACATTTAGGTACGTGGGGTGTACACAACAAAGGAACAAAACTCTAAAACCCATAGTTGAGACCTATTTATTCATCCTTAAGCCACTTGGACCAAACCATAATAAACCTCTGGAGTCTCATATCATCCCTTTACCTCAGTTTTCCTTTGAGAGTGTGTTTTTGGAGCATAAAAGTGTGTTGGAGGCCATTTTGGAGCTTATTCAAGAATAAGAAGTTAGTGAGCAAGCATGGTGTGGCATTAGGCTTCAAGAACCTACACATAGTTCACCTTCAGTGGCTTCTGGAGGTATAAAGTCTTAATCTTGCCATCTTCTTCATTAGATTGAGTTAGGGTTTGCTATATTGTCCCTTTTGTGTTCATGTATCATCTCTTGGGAGTTTGAGCAACTCTAGAGCTTAGGAAGAGTGTATATGAGGTCCATTAGTTCATTCATAACATAAAAATGTTGTCTTGGTGAGTGTTTTGACCTCATGCATGAGTTAAGACCCTTGGAAATGTCTTAATGGGTTATAAGGGGTTGTTAGGAACATATAGAGCATGCAAGGGCATAAAGTTGCCAACTTTATACCTCAGAACGTCTTAATGTACTGATATCTAATGCTTGACATTAATATCCCAAGCATTAAGAGCTTAATGGTCATTTGTGTAGGCCTGACTTGTACATCGCGCGTAGTAGCATGTACGCATCATGTACGGCTGGAGGAGCTAGTACGTTGAGCGTACTGGAGTGGTACACAAGGCGTATGCACTCAGATGGTTTTAGGCTTGCTTTGGGCTTGTAAGCCCTTTGGGCCTAAGTTATTTTTGGGCCTGGTCATATTTTAGGTTAGTGGTTCGATTAATTTGTTTTGGGCCATGGTTGTTTTGGTTGGGCCTTATTGGGTCATGTGGCCCATTAATAGCTTTGGACATGGACTTTAAGTCCATTAGCAAATGAAAGACTCTGAGGTCATTATGGAAGGACTTGGGCTTAGGTAATTGGGTTGTGTAATTAGATTGCATTTAATCCTAATTTTAGGTTACTGGTATTATTGTTTAGCACAGGTAGTTTCGGACTGTTAGGCGAGTAGCTTTCAGGTTCAACAGATTAATGTGAGTCTCCTAACCGTACCAATGGGTTGAAGGCACCAAGGCCGACCCATTATGTTATGTGGAATGATGGTTGATTACGTGATATGTGATATGCTATTTGTTCGTGTGATAATCGCATGGAAGACCCCGAGGGGTTCCCGTGGCCGTAGACTAAAACCATGCGGGGGTTCCTATGGCATTCAATGTTGGGTTTTTGTGACATCCCCATTTTCATGGTCAGAAAAGACCGATTATTGTTTATGCTTTATAAAAAAAATCAGAGTATCTCTTTTAATAAAAATGTTGCGGAATTTGTTCCCAGTAAAACATG